GGAGGGGCTGGCTGGCACAGAACGAGGAATTTTGGGGGCCAGGGATGCTGTGGCTCCAGGAGACAGGGGGGTGCAGAGGTGAATGGGGCAGCACGCTGGGCCCTGGGCACCGAGGTGGGTGCAGGCTGAGCAGAAGGGACCACAACTGGGGTACCTCCAGCCTGTGGGCAAAAGTGGGGGTGCAGTGATGGGGGCACTGGGGGCTCAGCAATTCCTGTGCCCCATGCCAGGACCTGCTGGAGGGGCTTTGCCTCCACAAAGTGGGGGAAACTGAGGCACGGGCACTGGCTGTGGGGCTGGGTTGCCCAAAATGCCCTGGGCATGGTCCTGCCGTACCCTGGCACAGCGTGGCACTGCCACTCGTCCTCCCGCAGCTGCTCTCTTAGCCCAGAGTCCCAAACTGGCTTGTTTTCCAAGGGATTTAAGTTGAAATGGCCGGGAAGAGGCGAGGTGCAGCGGCCGCTCCGCCCCAGGCCCCTCCGGACACAAAGATGGTTTGATTGAGTGGCCGGGGCTGGCTGGGAATAAACGTCCCCTTGTGTCACGCTGGGGAGGCCACGGGGACAATGGTGACCCCGGGGGCTGGCCAAACCCCTCCGGAGCCTGGCAGGGTGGGGGGTGAACCAGAACCTGGCAATTTGGGGAGAAGTGGCCGGATTTGGGGTGCTCCACAGTGACACCCCTCAGGGGAAGGGAAGGAGGTCGAACGCTGGGGGTCTGTGATGAGGGATTTGCTGGCTGGGAGGAAGAGGAGGGATGAAGGCACCCACATGCAGAAGGGGAAGGGGTGAGGGTGGGGGACACGCAGTGCCAAGGGAAGGTGGGCAGCGCATGGCCACTCATGTGCTGTAAATAACCGTGGAGCTGCTGGGGTGCAGGATGGGTGGAAAAGTGGAGGTTTTTCCCAGTGGGGTTTCTCCTGGTGAGGGTTTTTCCTGACGAGGGGGTGCCTGGGGGGGGGATGGGGGGCAGGGAGAGCTCAGGAGAAGTGGTGCTGTCTCTGCTTCTCTTCCTTGTCCCACTGGTTAACTCTGGAGCCTAATGATGACAAGCGAAACCCTTGCTGCTAGGCTATGCTTTAAACCAGTTTTATTATCAGGAGGGCAATGCTTTGTGATCCCAAACCCAGAGGGAGCCCAGGGTCACCCCACACTCCCCTGCACCAAAACAACCCTCCCCCACCCCAGACCGACCCCTTATGGGACCCGGACCCCAAAGGGGCGAGACCCAGCTCTCCTGCAGCAGGCAAGCTGGGCGCAGGGCTGATGGGCAGAGGGGCTGTGGGGGGTCAGAGGGGCAGTAGCCATGCTGGCCACCCTTCCTCCCCCCACCGTGGCCTGGAACTCCTGGAATTTGGGCAGCAGGAGCGCGGCCGCCGCCGGCCCTTTGTTCTCACTGGCCGGTGGCTCCCGGCCCTGGCCCTCCCCTGCTCTCCCCCTCATCCCCAGCATCCCTGGCTCGCTCCAATCCCCCCCTTCCTCTCTTTATTTTTTGGGGAGGGGGTGTGTGTGTGTGTGTGTGTGTGTGTGTGTGAAGGCCTGGGAAGGCTCCCGGCTTTGTGTGTGGTGTGGGACAGGGGCTCTGGGCCCCTTCCTTTCAGATGCAGGAGGTATGCAGCTAATTCAATGGGCTGCAGTTTGATTACCTATCTGATAACAGAGGAATGCCAGCAATGTGTGTGTTTTGGGAAGGGGGCAGGGGGGGGGGATGCGCAGGGACCACCAGCTACTCTGCAGCTCACATCAA